AATTAACTCCAAATGGTCTATAGACCTAAGCATAACAGCTTAAACTATAAAAGTGTTAGAAGAAAACATAGGTATAAATGTTTGTGACCTAGAGTTGGGTGATGGTTTCTTAGATATGATGCCAAAAGTACAAATGACAAAAGGAAAAAATAAACAAATTGAACTCCATCAAAATTTAAAACATTTGTGCTTTAAAGGATACTGTTAAGTAAGTAAGAATGCAACCTAAGCAATGGGAGAAAATACTTGCAAATCATACATTAAGTCCCTGACAAGAGACTTAGGAGACTTGTATAACTAACAATAAAAAGACAAATAACCTAATTAAACATGAGCAAAGATTTCAATAGACATTTCTTCCAAAAAGATATACAAATGGCCAATAAGCACATGGAAAGATGCACAACAACATTAGTCATGAGGGAAATGTAAATTAAACCATAATCAAATCAAATACCACTTTACATGGACAAGGATAGTTATAATAAAAAACGACAGACAGCAAATGTTGACAAGGATGTGGAGAAATTGAAACTCACATACATTGCTGGTGGTAATGTAAAAAGTGAAGCTGTTTTGAAAACAGTTTAGCAATTCTTCATGAAGTTAAACATAGAATTGCTATAACCCAGAATTCCCACTCCTAGTTATACAGCCAACAGAATTTTAAACATATCCCCACGAAACCTTTTACAAAAAAGTTCATAGCAGCATTATCTTATTTTTTTAATTTTTATTTATTTATTTATTTTTTTGAGACAGAGTCTTGCTTTGTTGCCCAGGCTAGAGTGAGTGCCATGGCGTCAGCCTAGCTCACAGCAACCTCAAACTCCTGGGCTCAAGCAATCCTGCTGCCTCAGCCTTCCAAGTAGCTGGGACTATAGGTATGCGCCACCATGCCTGGCTAATTTTGTCTATATATATTAGTTGGCCAATTAATTTCTTTCTATTTATAGTAGAAATGGGGTCTCCCTTTTGCTCAGCCTGGTTTCAAACTCTTGACCTTGAGCAATCCGCCCGCCTCAGCCTCCCAGAGTGTTAGGATTACAGGCGTGAGCCACCGCACCCAGCCAGCATTATCTTATAGTAGAGCAAAGTGGAAACATTCCAAATGTCCATCAACTGATGAATCAATAAACAAAATGTATTATATCCATATAATGGAATATTATTTGACCATAAAAATGAATGAAGTACTAATTTGTGCTATGACATGTATGAACTTAGAAAATATTAGGCTCAGTGAAAGAAGCCAGACATAAAAGGTTATATATTGTATGATTCCATTTATATGAAATATGCAAAATAGGAAGATCCATGGAGACAGAAAGTAAATATTGGTTGGCAAGGTTTGGAAGGAGGAGAAAATGAGGAGTGACTGCTTGATGGATATGAGTGGTATATAAATACTATCTCAAAAAAAGCCATTTTAAAAAAATACTTATTCAGTATCATCAAGACTCGTGATATTGGTACAATTACATGTTGCTAGCAGCTTATATATCAGCACAATCCTTTTCTAAAGCAAATTTGACTACATGTTCCGTGAGCCGTATACATATTCCCATTTAGTAATCCTGCCCCTGGGAATTATACCAGGCTCAGAGCCAAAACTATGAAAAAAGCTACATTCCTGAAGACTCACTCTTCCAAATACAAAAAAACTGAAAATGGGCCGGGCGCAGTGGCTCACACCTGTAATCCTAGCACTCTGGGAGGCTGAGGCGGTAGGATTGCTTGAGCTCAGGAGTTCGAGACCAGCCTGAGCAAGAGCGAGACCCCCGTCTCTACTAAAAATAGAAAAAGTTAGTCAACTAAAAATGAAACAAAAAATTAGCCAGGCATGGTGGCTCGCACCTGTAGTCCCAGCTACTCTGGAGGCTGAGGCAGAAGGATCGCTTGAACCCAGGAGTTTGAGGTTGCTGTGAGCTAGGCTGACACCATAGCACTCACTCTAGCTGGGGCAACAAAGCGAGACTCTGTCTCAAAACAAACAAACAAAAACCTGAAAACATCAAGTATTGCACAAAATAAGAATAGATATTTAAATAACACTTTAACAATTTAATGAAATCTTTTTCAAAAACCTGTGATGAATTGTTAAGTAAAAATGTTTTATAGGTGCTTCTGTCTTTTAAATTAGTTCTACCTTAGATAAGGGCCAACAAAGAACATCGACCCAGGAAAGTAAATGGTTTGTCAGCGTCCTGTAATCATTGGGATCTCTCTCCTGTGTTTCTTATATTACTTTTGTGATGATTATGGATCCACCACAGTATTCCTTGCCATGACTATGCTGTTGTATTTAAAAGACAATTTCTGAGTGCTTTTGTTATGTTTGGTATATTCAGAAAGATGTGTGGGTACCTGGATGTCTGGAAGATGACTCTGACCAGGAGAAAACACTGGAAAACCTAGTTGACTTCAGTGAAGGCACATGGGGAGCAAACATTCCCTGCAAAGCAGCATGCCAGGAGTTGCCCCTCGGTGGAGCCAACAGGCTGGTGGAGAGACCTGAGCCTCCTCCACCAACAAAGGGTAGGACTATAGACTTTGTGCACCCTAAAAAAGAAATTTGTAATTATAGGAATAGTGGCCATGAGAAATGCTCCTTATATGAATCAGAGACTGGAGCACATCACCAGATCTTTAAAATATTTTTTTTTTAGGTAATGGTATAACATTATTATTTATAAAATTAAAGCATTACTACATATATTTATATATGGTAAAGTACACAAATCTTAAGTCTACAACTAGGTGAAAATTTATGTAAATACAGATTCGTTTCTCCACTGCTGAGATCAAAACAGATCTTTTGGCCTCACCAGCAACCTCCTCATTCCCATGCACAGGTGATACCCCCTCCAAAAACAACTACTATTTGACCTGTATCTCTATAGATTAGATTTGCTACTTTTGAACTTGATAAATATGCAGTTACTCAGTATGCATCTTTCGTGTCTCCTTTTTTATTGCTCAACATTATGTCTGGGAAATTCATCCATGATGCGTGTGCAGCTAGAATTGATTCTTTTTCATTGTCACTGGACTTATGCATTGGAAAGTTAGTAAATTTCCTTTTATTTAAATTTCATTGTGATGTAAAATAAATGCATGATTAAACTATCTTAAGAGGGAAAAGTTAGAAATAAAAAAAATTCACTTAGGAGCATTTGACTCCAACAGAAGGTCAGATATAATCAACTAGAGAGCTGTCACTTCTGAATAAACAAAATGGGCAGATGTTTGGGAAAATCTGTAAAGTCATATGATAATTTTGTGGTGAATGTAGACAGAGCTACAAAGCAGAGGGACTGACCAGCTGGCCAAAATATTAAACAAGGGAAATTTGTACTCCCGAGAGGGTTTGCAGCAATCAAAAAGCCCTCTAGACCCCTGAGTTTGAGGCACGTGCAGCATAATTTCAATGGTCTCTTCTGTTCTACTGCAAGCCCATCTCACCTGTTTTAGGCAGATCATTAGGCGTGATGAGGAAAAGCTTTTGTTACAGTCTTAGCTGTCAGCAAGCTGCTGTTTGCAAATCCTACACTTCCAGACAACAGCAGCCAGGCTTTGGTCAGAAAAGGACAGATTTCAAAGAGTTATAAACCACATTTTAGAGCTTGCTCTGGGAGGATATCAGAGGTTAGATTAAGTTAAATAATACAAACAATAGTAATATTAATATTAATAGTGCAAGTCTGTTCTTATCTAATGGGGAAGATTTGGACAGGTGTTCCTGCATTTACAACTGCTCAATTTATCAGTGGTTTCTCTTCCACTTTGTGTTGCCTTCTCCCCCTCAGAGCTTGCTATCCTGAACCTTTATTTCCTAGAAAGGTAAGGTAATTACTAACTTGTAAATCTATAAAAACTGGCAGGTAATCTTGCTGGCTGCTTGTGAGTCCGGCTTTCTATTGACATAAAAAAATGTCTTTGTCATAACTAAACATATTAAAATGTATAGAACATATTTTGAACAGTTAAATAGTTTCATTTTCTTCGTAATTAGGTAAAACAAAATTATTTTCTAGTGTAAGTTGTCGCTAAGATCTATGTGACCTTGGGGAAGTGATGTCTGAAAGTCTGAGTTTCCTCAACTGTAAAACTATGAGGTTGAATTAAGAGATCTTTAAAGTGCATTATTTTTTTTTTTTTTGGCAGAGATGGGGGTCTCACTATGTTGCTTAGACTGGTCTTGAACTCCTGGCCTCAAGCAATCCTCCCACACTTCCCAAAGTGCTGGGGTTATAGGCCTGAGCCACTGTGCCTGGCCAAGAGATCTTTAAAGTGTATCATTATTATTATTATTATTGGTGGAGATGGGGTCTCATTATGTTTCCCAGGCTAGTTTTGAACTCTTGGCTTCAAATGATCCTCCCTCTTTGGCTTCCCAAAGTGCTGAGATTACAGGTGTGAGTGAGCCACTGTACCTCGCCCAAAGTGCATTTTTAAATGTTACTATAATTTATTCCTAAGTTGAGTCATGTAGAAAACCTAAGAAAATAAATTCCCTTTTGATGTTAGGCTAAGCCTTACGTTAACATTAATTCCAATTTCTACAAATTTAAGGGCAAACATAAAAAAAAAAATTCCAAGAATGAAACATTTACCATGACTAAAAATTATATTCTACTTGAGTTTGAGGGTTGTGTTTGGAGATCACAATGTACCCTTACTTACTGAAGCACCAGAAAAAAAAAAAATAACAATTACTTCTTGAAAAAGAATGATGAGACTCTGATCAAAGAGTGGTCTTTTTGGTTTAGATAGAGAAAGTGCCAAATGTCAGATAACATTAGATTAAGTTGAGATCCAGAGAACATTTGGGTCAGGCTAACAAATTTATCTTTATTTAAGCTCTTAGCAACCTGTATGCTCGGTGTTTATTACTCTTGGACAAGTGCCTTCTGTTTATCTGGGAAGCGTTCATTGAGACATGAGTCTCCATTATATAGATGTGACATCAAGTGATAGGAAGTTGGCATGAAAGCCGGTGTTGTAAGGGACCATGTTTTATTAGGAGGAAATGTCCGTGATTAAGGATTTCTTTGACAAAATGTAGATTAGACTCATATTTAAATTGTCCCTGATCATAAGAAGAGCACCAGAGAAAATGTGTTGCCATCCTCCATGGAAGTGGGCTTATTTCAGGCAAAATTATTTCTGACACCTATCTCTCATTTTGTGGTATCCAGTATACAATAATTACAGCTCTCATGCATTGATGCAAAATATGGAAATTCCATTTTTCTTTTCTTATACAGAAAACACAAAGATCCTCCCATGCACCCTTCTGGGCTATTATCATACAGTGTGATTTATGTATTTCTTGTATGTTTCTTTCCTTTTAAATCTGGAAGTATATTCTTTTGTTTTATTGGGCTATTTATTCTGTTGACATCCTTGGATGTGAGTTAATGGAACCATGATAAAAGGATACAGAAGTAGAACAAACAAGCCTGATGGTATAGATTCAGGACTGCCTGACAGATTAGGGATAGCAAGGATAGGAACAAAAGATAAAATCATCTGATTCATGTGCACTGAGATGGTCCAAATAAACCAGTGCTTGAAGTTTCACTATGCTATAATTCTGGAAAATAAACTCAGGAAAGATGGGTTGTTATTATAGGGATTAGGAGAAGATGTTGGTTTTCCTTTTAAAAATTAATTTTTACGCACAAAATTTTAACGTTTAAGAGCCTACCACAACACTTTGCTGTAAATGAGCATGTTATAAATATTTGTTACTTAATATAACAAAAGAGTTGATGAGGGAGAACTGGAAGCTGAGACCGCCGGAGCAGCCTGGAGACCAGCGAGAAGGGTAGGTGGATAAATCACCTTTCCCCTCCCCTGCATTTGGGACTGCTGGTGGGCTCCCCAGCGGGTAGAGAGACCTGCGGACACCAGCCCAGAGACGGCCGCCGCCAGCTAGCGGTGAGCCTGTAGTGGACGCAGCACCAGACTCCCAACTGCCTCCGGGCACCTCCGTGTGCACAGACCCGAGCCGCATGGCAGGCGCCATATTGCCTCCATTTCCTCTCTGCCGACCCTACCCATGGCTGCCCAGAGAGACAATACAGCCACCAGCCGGAGGCACTTCCAGGGAACGGGACCTTCCCTTTTGGGACCCTACAGCTGACTAAGGGGAACTCAGACTGTGAGCTCCCTACCCGCCAGCCCTCCCAGGTGCTGCTGGCACGGTGATCCCAGGAAAACGGTGCCGACTCAGAGGCTGAGAGACATAGACCCAGCTTGGGCTCCCTGTGGGTGAATTGGTACCAGAACTCCTCTCCCTGGTGGGGATACAGTTTGAACTCTGGGACCCACAGGTCAGACCTGCAGACCAGATCCCGTGCACCCAGGTCTAGCATTGTCCGGGGCACAGAAGGGATATATGTGAACAGCCTACTGAGGTGTGTGTGCCTTCAGGGGCAGATCAGTGTCCTAGAGGGCAACCCTCCTCCCAAAAGGAGGCCGTATGCCCAGCCCAGGTGGCGTTTCTGCGCAGGGAACCTCCCGCGGGCATCACAATCCGGGGAGGTCTGGTGGGGTATGGTCTGGCCTGCTGGCAGAGGCCCAGGAGTAGCTGCGGAGTTGGGGAGGGTGGAAAGAGCGAGGCCCACTCCAGACTGCAGGTCTCAGACAGCCCCATCCCCACAAGCAGATTTTCTGGCTGAGCAGGACCATTCCAGCCCCGCCCTGACAGCTTATCCTGGAAGCAGAGCACAGAACTTTGACCCCTGCTAACGGCATTGGTGGTGCCTGAGGGAATGCTTACCCAACCCAGCTCCACCCAGAACAAGAGCTGATAACCAGGACACAAAAACAACAGCATAGCCTGTTCCTCCAAGCAAGCGCCACCTACTGACAGGGACAGCATCCTGCACAGCCTTTTTATGGCACCCACTGACTCATTATACAAGGAGTGGTCGAATCTCACCCACAGGCACCACCTAAAGGCTCAGAAACTAAACAAGGCATGTAAATACCCAAACAAAAACCTAAAGGAAAGAAATAACAACTGATCAACATGGGAAGAAATCAGCGAAGGAACTCAGGAAATATGAAAAACCAAACGGAAAACACCCCCCCAAAGAGGAGCACCAGCCCCCTAGAAACGGACACCAACCCAAATCAGGAAACCAAAATGACAGAAGAGGAATTTCCTATGTGGATCATAAGAACACTCACCAACCTGCAACAAAAATTCAATCACCAACACAAAGAAACTACAAAAAGTCTCCAGGACCTAGAAGAAAAGTTCACTAAAGAAATAGACAAAATGAAGAAAAGTTTAACTGAACTCCTGGAAATGAAGAATCAATTCAGGGAACTACAAAATACAGTGGAAAATCTCAAGAACAGGGTAGATCAAACAGAAGAAAGAATCTCAGAGCTTGAAGATAACACACTCCAACTAAATAAAACCATCACAGAGATAGAGCAGAGAAACGAGAAAAGAGCAAAGCCTACAAGAGATATGGGATTATGTGAAGAAACCTAATATGAGGGTCATAGGGTTACCAGAAGGGGAAGAAGACAGCACTCAAGCGTTGGACAAGCTATTTGAAGATATAATAGAAGAAAATTTCCCAGGCCTTGCTCAAAATCTCAATATACAAGTTCAAGAAGCTCAGAGGACCCCTGGGAGATTCAATGCAAACAGGAGGACGTCACGACATGCAGTCATCAGACTGACCAAAATATCAACTAAAGAGGTCCTTCTAAGAGCTGTAAGACGAAAGAAGCAAGTGACATACAAGGGAAAGCCAATTCGCATAACGCCAGACTTCTCTAATGAGACTTTACAAGCAAGGAGAGACTGGGGCCCCATTCTCACTCTTCTGAAACAAAATAATGCCCAGCCTAGAATCTTATTCCCTGCAAAACTAAGCTTGATATATGAAGGAGAAATTAAGACATCCTCAGACAAGCAAAGTCTCAGAGAATTCACCAAGACACGACCAGCCCTACAAGAAGTACTAAAAACCGTGTTACGCACGGAACACCATAATAAAAACTCACGAATATAAAAACAACCAAAACCCAAAGATTAAAGGCCAGATAATACAATGGCTCAAGAGATAAATCAAAGCAACAACATCCAACCCAACAGAATGAACAGTAATCTACCTTACCTATCAGTTCTCTCAATAAATGTGAATGGCTTAAACTCTCCACTCAAGAGACATAGGCTGGCTGAATGGATAAGAAAATACAGGCCACGTAAATGCTGTCTTCAGGAAACACATCTAACCTGCAAGGATGCATACAGACTAAAAGTAAAAGCGTGAAGATCAGTATTCCAGGGAAGTGGAAGCCAAAAGAAGGCTGGCGTGGCAGTTCTGATTTCAGACGATTTAGTTTTTAAACCAACAAAAGTAGTGAACGACAAAGCGGGTCATTATATAATGATGAAGGGCACAGTCCAATAAGAAGACATAGCAATTTTTTTTTTCAATTTTTAGAAACTCATGTTTATTTTCCATCAACCTTATTTCCATTTTTAAGAGTCTGTAGAAGAACTTAAGACCACTCAGTGGTTGTTCCCACCCATTCAGTGGCCTGAGCAGTGGGAGCTGCAGACCAGTCTTCTGTGGCAGGCTGGGCGCTCCAGTCTTCAGTGGGGAACTGCTGAATAGGCACAGAGGGCACCTGCACGCCTTCAGACCAGTCTGCAACCTCGGGCTGAGTAGCAGTAAACTCAGGAGCTAGAGCTGTCCATTCACCCCGAAACTCCTCTTTGGTCACAGCTTTCTCGGCGACAGCTTGCTCTTCCTTTTCAATCTCTTCAGGATCTCTGTAGAAGTAGAGATCAGGCATGACCTCCCACGGGTGTTCACGGGAGATGGTGCCACGCATGCGGAGAACTTCCCGGGCCAGCATCCACCACATCAGACCCACAGAGTGAGCCCCCTTGTTGTTGCACGGGATGGCAATGTCCACGTAATGCAGAGGAGAATCTGTGTTACACAGAGCAATGGTAGGCAGGTTAACATAAGACGCCTCTGTGAGAGGCTGGTGGTCAGCCCTGGGGTCAGTAACCACCAGAAGACGCGGCTCCCAGAACGCTGCCTGGATCTGGTTAGTGAAGGTTCCAGGAGTGAAGCGGCCAGCAATAGGAGTGGCTCCAGTGGCAGCAGCAAACTTCAGCACAGCTCGCTGGCCAGTATTTCTGGAGGATATGACACTGACATCAGCAGGGTTTTCAATGGCAACAATGGCACGAGCTGCCAACAGAAGCTTCTCCCAGGTCCTCTTCAGATTTATGACATAGATGCCATCAGTTTTTCTTTTGTAGATGTACTGTTCCATTTGGAAGTCAAGGTTGGTGCCACCTAAGTGGGTTCCTGCTGCAAGGAATTTGAGGACATCCTCCTCCTTCATTTGCAGGACATCAAGGGCTTCGGACATCGTGAAAGTTTCCCTTTAAGTTACGACGGGAATCCAGAACAACGCCGTATGGGCCCCTTCCGCGGGTAGCGTGGAAAGGAGATAGCAATTTTAAATATATATGCACCCAACTTAGGTGCACCCAGTTTCATAAAGCAAACCTTACTGGATCTAAGCAAATGGATTAATAGCAACTCCATAATCGCCAGAGATTTCAACACCCTACTGACGGCACAAGACAGATCCTCCAAACCGAAAATTAATAAAGAAATAATGAACTTAAACAAAACACTGGAACAATTGGGTCTGACTGACATCTACAGGACATTCTACCCAAAATCTACGTTCTTCTCATCAGCTCACAGGACATTCTCTAAGATTGACCATATCCTAGGACACAAAGTAAATCTCAAGAAATTTAATAAAATAGAAATCATACCATGTACCTTCTCAGATCACAGTGGAATAAAAGTAGAAATCAACCCTAACAGAAACTCACATTTCTATACTCGGCCTAGGCAAAGAGTTTATGAAGAAGTCCCCAAAGGCAATCACAGCAGCAACAAAAATAATAAAATGGGACATGATCAAACTACAAAGCTCTGCACAGCCAAAGAAATAGTCATGAAAGTAAACAGACAACTACAGAATGGGAGAAATTTTGCATTCTATGCATCCGATAAGGGACGATAACTAGAATATACTTGGAACTCATGAAAATCAGCAAGAAAAAATCAAATACCCTATTAAAAAGGGCTAAGAGCTTGAACAGGAACTTTCTAAAGAAGACAGAAGAATGGCCAACAAACATATGAAAAAATGTTCAACATCTCTTATCATCAGGGAAATGCAATCAAAACCACAATGAGATACATTTAATCTCACATGAGAATGGCCTTTATCAAAAAGTCCCAAACAAAAAATGCTGGCGTGGATGCGGAAGAAGAGAAACACTCCTACAGGCTGGTGGGACTGCAAACTGTTCACCTCTGTGGAAAGCAATATGAGATACCTTAAAGTGATACAAGTGAACTACCATTTGATCAGCAATCCCATGTGGCGCATCTACACCAAAATATCCAATGACACTTACAAAAAAGACACCTGCACTTGAATTTTATAGCAGCACAATTCATAATTGCAAGGCTGTGGAAACAGCCCAAGTGCCCATCAACCCAAGTGGATTAATAAAAT